TGAGCATCCTAGGTGTGGCCCCAAAAAGAAACAACAACAAAATGTAATGAAATAAAAGAGAGGGCAGGAGGGGCTGGAGAGATAGCACAGTGGGTAGGGCGTTTGCCTTGCATGTGGCCGATCTGGGTTCGATTCCCAGAATCCCATATGGTCCCCTGAGCTACTGCCAGGAGTAATTCCTGAGTGCAGAGCCAGGAGTAACCCCTGTGCATCGCCAGGTGTGACCCAAAAAGCAAAAAAAAAAAAAAAAAAAAAAAAAAAAGAGAGAGAGAGAGAGAGAGGGCAGGAGAGAGAATACAGCGGAAAGGGTACTTGACTTGAATGGGGCTGACCCCGGTTCAATCCCCAGCACCCTGGAAGGTTCCCAAGCCCGCTCTGAGCACAGCAGAAATGCCTGGGGCTGAGGCCAGAGATTTGGTGGGGTGGCACTTCTGCACCCTGCAAGGCCAACAGTCCTCACACAAACCTAGGCCTTCCATCAGGTCTCATGCAAAATGTTTCAAAGTAGAGGCTGGAGCAATAGCACAGCAGGTAGGGCGTTTGCCTTGCAAGCGGCCAACCCGAATTCGATTCCCAGCGTCCCATATGGTCCCCTGAGCACCACCAGGGATGATTCCTGAGTGCAGAGCCAGGAGTAACCCCTGAGCATTGCCCGGTGTGATGTAAAAAGCAAAAAAAAAAAAAAAAAAAGTTTCACAGTAAGGTCTCAGGGACTTTCCCTCTCTGCCATCCAGACAGAGACCGATGGCAGAGACCCTGGTCACCCAGAAAGCCTTATCCCAGAGGGTCCTAGATGGCTAACATCTGCCTGTGCTGGGGTCACCCCAAAAGGCCTTAGGGTGTGGGCTGGGGCCCTGGCGCCCCCTCAGAAATCAGGCCCAAGAAATCACTGAGTAAGTCAGAAAAAAGTCTGTTACCACCCACCAAAGCAAGTTCTGACACTGCCTCCGGGGGCAGGCCTTGCGACACACGGTTATCAGCTGTCTGTGGTCTGTTACTGTCTTGACCATAAACAGCTTCCCACAGAAAGTCAGGCTAAAGCATATCCCAGAGCAAGATGTAATCAGCTAAGGGCAAGTCAGGAGGAGTGATAGGGAGGGAGACAAAGAAAAGAGAGAAAAGTCACCAGGCCAGAGGGGAGCAGAGGAGATGGATCTGGACAAGAAGTGTCCAGTCCTGGTCCCCGAGCCTCTCGAAGGCTGTTGTCAGGTCTGGAGAGAAAGGGCTTGATGGGGTTCCCTGGGACTCAGCCCCAACCAGCAAAGCTGCACATCAGAAGCCACAAGTTAGCTCCAGAGCGACAGTACCGTGGAGAGGGCGTGTGGGCATTTGCCTTGCATGTGCCTGGCCCGGTTTCAATCCCCAGCACCTCACATGGTCCCCCAAGCACCACCAGGAGTGATCCCTCGGTGCAGAGCCAGGAGTCAGGCACCACAAGTCTCCCAAGCACAGGTGAAGAGAGTCCGGCCCCTGCCCCCTGCCACTAAACCACTGGAAAGGCCCCAAACCAAAGAAAGTCAAACCAAAGAGTATCTGTTTGTGGAAAGCCCCTGGGGTCAGGGGCCTGCGTGCCTTCTCTCTGCTTACTGCTAGGTTCCAAAGTCCCTTATTTTCTATCTTTATTGGATGCCTAAAACTACAAAACAGGGGCTGGAGCAATAGCACAGCAGGTAGGGCGTGTGCCTTGCATGGGTCAATCCAGGTTCGATTCCCAGCATCCCATATGGTCCCCTGAAACCACCAGGGGTAATTCCTGAGTGCAGAGCCAGGAGTAACCCCTGTGCATCGCCAGGAGTGACCCAAAAAGCCAAAAAAAAAAAAAAAGAAGTTTAAAAAATGGTTTGAAACTACAAAACATTTGTTCACTGCCCCCCCCCCCCTTTTCAGCAGAAGGTGGAGTTGAAAACAGTCCCCAATCGTCCCCAGGGTGGCCAGGATACTCAAGACAAGCGAGGTCCCTGCTCACACTCGGGGCACCGGGTGTTCAACTACAACGGAGGCGAACCACGTGGGATGCTCGCCCAGCTCCAAGCTCAGGGAGCTTCACACCTCGGGCACCTGCTTAGAATTCTGTGGAAGCATCGGGCCAGAGAGACGGTTCAACTGGCGGGAGGGCGTGCTCCGCAGGCCGGGGGCCCTGGTCCAACGCCCCGCACAGCATCACGCTCCCCTCCTGCCGTCAGCTCTGAGCTGGCAGCAGCCCCTGAGCACTGCCAGGTAAGGCCCGAGTGAGTCTCTGAAAACCTTTGTACCGACCCTGCTGTGCCAGTCGAGGGGCTACAGTCCAGTGAAGGGGCTGCCAAGTCCACAGTCCTCTAATGCTTTGAGAAGGTGAGGAGAGCCGGAGGGAGAGCTCAGAGGGCTGAGGGCGGGTTCAACCCCTTGCTCTGCATAGTTCCCCCGAGCACTGCACCTGGAGTAGCCCTTAAACACTGCCAGGTGTTTCCCCTGCACCCCCCCCCAAAGGTACTTTTAAACTTGGCCCTAAAGAGTCTACACCAAATTATCCTTCCATCCAGTTTATTCTAGAAATCTAAAAAAAAAAACAAACTATTGAGTTAAAAAGGCAACAGTCAGAGCCACAAGGCACCACGGCCCCGTCAGGCTGCAAGGGAGGGCGCAGGAGGAAGGGACTCTCCTACTCCTCTCACCAGATCAGGCTCTGTGCCCGGTGGCCTCGCCAGGCCACGCTTGTGTCCACTTGGCCTGCTGCTAAGGCCGCTCTCCAGCCTCCTGGCAGGAGTCTCGGCAGGACGAGGCTTCGGAGAGAGCCTGCGCTGGCCGTCCGCCAACAGAAGGCCGGGTGTGGGCTGGCGGCCGTGCACCAATGACTTCCAGATTGGCCCCTCGAGGGCGCCTTCCCCTGAGCGCCCGACCCCCACATCGCCTCCCCAGACACTCCCACGCAGCCCCTCTGTGCCGGAACACCTCCTCTCCCAGCCTGGGGGCGCGCCCCAAACCTTCCCCATCGAGGGCCCCTTCTCAGAAGCAGTTCCAGCACCCCAGCCCCGGTCACTCGTGATGGCAGAAGCCTGATTTCTACCCAATGTCCACGCCCTCCCAGGGAAGACCGGCTGATCCGGGGGTTCCGTTGGCACTGCTGCTCTCTGCCCGTCATCGCCTCTCTGGCCCCACTTCACCTGAAAGCCTGGACCAAACATCAGGCACCAGGGTGCCCCAGCCCTCGGCCCACAGGAGCGGGAGGCATCCCAGGCCTCCTGTGACCAACCGATGTCCGCCCCGGGCACTCTCTCGCCTGTCCCCAGGCCCTCTGGGAACCCCAGTTTCCTGTCTCCGAGACTGCAGACGATGATTCCTCCTCTCCTGGGCCTGGCTCTGGTTTTCATTCTTGTATTTGGCCAGACCAGGGATGGTACCCAGGACCTCACACACAAACTCTATTGTGGGGTTCTACCCTGGGCCTCTGGCTAACTTTCTGTGTATAAGGAAACACTTCCCTAGCAGTGTTTGGGGTCCCGGGGTCACTCCCAGGGATGCTCAGTCTGGCAATGGGACCTGATGGCTCTCTGCTCAAACCTCAAAATGAGGTGGTTCGGGGCTTGGGGGAGGGGAGGGGGGGCTGTCAGGGCCACGTCCAGCAGTGCCTGGGGCACTATGCCTGGAATGTGTGGCATGAGCTCCATCCCCCAGCCCCTGGCTAAATTTCTTTGCAGCAGTTTGACTGAGTCACAATCCACTGACCACACAACTTGCCCAGTTAATGTGTCCAAATCAGTGGTTTTCAGTAAATCCAGTTGTGCAACCACCACTGCCATCAATTTTGAAACTTTTGTCACCCCCCAAACAATCCCTGGGGCAGGAGGGGGTGGAAAATCAGTACAGCGAGTTAAGGCCTTGTATGCGCTGACCCTGAGTTCAATTCCCGGCACCCCATATGGTCCACCGGGGAACCACCAGGAGTAATCCCTGAGCGCAGGACCTGCGTAAGCCCTGAGCACCACCCGGAGCGGCACAAAAGCCAAAGAAAAAAGGAAAAAGGATCCCTGGAAGCACGTCATACGGCCTTAGATCCAAATCCCTGGTCTTGCCACACGCTCCGAGCATGATCCTGGCTGCTCTGCTGTCGTCTGTGATCTCTGGTGCTCTAAGTCATTTCCGGTCACACCGCAGCCAAGTTTGTGTGCAAACCACAAAGGCACAATCTCTAGTGACAACTGAAGGAAGATACTGGAGGCCAGAGCCTTGGAGTGACGTCCACGAGCTCTCTGGGTCCCACAGCGCACAGCGCCCCCTGGTGAGCACTACAGCCATAACCAGCTCTCTGGAGCGCCAAAGCCCCCCCTCCTCTGGCAAGCCTGGGAGCACCCCAACTAAAGGAGCAGAAAACTGAGTCAGCACAGGAGGCAAGTACAGCCGAAACGTACCTGCAAGCAACCCCCAATCTCCAATTCCCTTTCCCATGAGGGAGGGAATAAAAATTGGGATGCTCAGGAGGCCTGGGGGCCACTCTAGTGACTTTTGGCCAAAAGGGTCATGGTTCAACACTCAGTCCTGAGGATGCAGTGATAGCTCGGGTCACCCTGGCTGGAAATCAAACCATGGCCACAGGCAAGGCAAACACCTTAGCTCCCATACTACACATCCCTCGAGTCCCTTAAAAGAAAAAAAAAAGTGTTTTAAACAATAGAACCCTGGAAAGATCGTACAAAGGCTAAGGTGACCTAGGTTCAAATCCCAGCACTGAATATGGTCCTTCAAGGCACCACATGTGGCCCCTGGCACAGAGCCACCACGGAGTGTGTGGCCCCCACCCCCCCCAAAAAAGAATAAAACCTGGGAGCACAGAGATAGCTCAAAGGGCTGAAGCACATTTTTTGCATGCTAGCGGCCCAGCCAGGTCTGATTCCTGGCATCTAATGGTCCCCTAAGCACCATGAGAAGTGAGCCCCTAAGAACTGAGCCAGGAGCAGCTCCCAAACCACCCCCATACCACTGGGTGTGCCCACCCCCCACAAAAACTAACAACAAAAAACAGCCGGATCCTTTTCCAGTTTATAAGCATGATGATAGAGTGTTTACACACTTGTGTAAATGTGCCTCCCTTAAATCTTGTTAAGGACTTGACAGGACCCATCTGAAGAGGGGAAAAAAAAAACTGCCCCTGAGCATTGTCAGGAGTGGCCTCTTCCCCAAAAAATAATAAACTTGGAGCTGGAGAGATAATAGAGCGGGAAAGGTACCTGCCATCATACAGCTGGCCTGGGTTCGATTCCCAGCACTGCTTATGGTCCCCTGAGTCTGCCAGGAATAATTCCTGAGTGCAGAGCCAGGAGTAAGCCCTGAGCGTCGCCAGGTCTGGCTCCAACCAACCCTCCCCCCATAATAGTGGGAAATGAAAATAATGCTTTTTCAATTTAGGGGGTTTGGGCTCACACCATGCAGTGTCAGGAGCTATGTCTGCTCTGTGCTCAGGAATGGCCCCTGGCAGTGCTCATGGGACCATATGTGGTGCGAGGGATTCAAACCAGGGGTGGCTACGTGCAGGCAAGTATCGTACTCCTGTACCATCTCTCCAGTCTCTCAACTTAATTTTTGGTTTGGGGCCACCCACAACAATGCTCAATGGCGGTGCTCAGGGAGCCATGTGGGATACCAGGGATCGGAAGCGGGTCATCTGTGTGCAAGGCAAGTGCCCTATATGCCGAACCATCGCCCTGGCCCCGAAGGTAATTTTTTAAATAAAAAAGTCCTATCATTGGGGCTGGAGCAATAGCACAGCAGTAGGGTGTTTGCCTTGCACGCGGCCAACCCGGGTTCGATTCCCAGCATCCCATATGGTCCCCTGAGCACCGCCAGGGGTAATTCCTGAGTGCAGAGCCCCTGTGCATTGCCGGGTGTGACCCAAAAAGCAAAAAAATAAAATAAAATAAAAAAATAAACAGGAAGTTGTACTGCTTGTTTAACATCCCTTTAAAAAAAAAAAGCCCTATCATTGCCATTAGTACCATGTGCCCCCTCTGCCAGCAGCCTGTGCCACCTATTTTGATGTCACAGGTCCACCTGCTAGGTAGGCCCGCCTGCCATGCTTTCCTTCCCTGCCTCCCAGGAGTGACAGGCGGGGGACACTATTGCAGCAACAAGCGAAAGCTCTGGCCGGTCACTCAGTGCCAGGCCCCGCACTTGCATTTCGTGAGCATCTTTGAGGCCTGTTCATCTTTTCTACAACCGGGGTCACCTGACTCGCCTAAGGCCACGGATGCACTGAGTGGCGGTGCCAGGTCAGCTGAGAAGCTCTGTGTGCTCCCCCTATTCTGTCACCCCCCAACTCTCCTCTCTTCTCACCAGGTCACCGATAAACTCTGAGTGGCAAAACCCTAACTGAAGCGGCTGACTTCTGTGTCCGTCTCTTGGCTAAGTTTGGCACTCACGCATGGGGTGACCTCGGGGTGACTCCATCATAGGGGACCATCACCCCACGCCCGTGCTTACGTCCTTCCTGGGGAGGGTCTCACGTGACTCCTTGTGACTCTGATCGACACACAGCGGACCCCAGTGCAGCAACCGCCCGTGTCTCCGCACAGTGTCCCCAGACCCCTCACTCCTGCCCTCATTTTCCCTCTGGCCGTTCCTTCTATGTCCCACCAACCTTTATTTATTTTGCTTTTGGGGTCACACCCAGCAATGCTCTGGGGTTACTCCTGGCTCTGCACTCAGGAATTACTCCTGGCGGTGCTTTGGGGGACCATATGGGATGCCGGGGATCAAACTCAGGTCGGCTGCGTGCAAGGCAAATGCCCTACCTGCTGTGCTATCGCTCCAGCCCCCCCCCCCAACCTTTTGTTCTGCCACCACAGCCAGAAAAGAACATCGCTCGGTCTCCACGCTAGTCTTCCCGGGCCTTCACCTCCCCCCACTACCTGTGCTCAGTGCTCCCTGCCAATGCCATTGTCTGTGCCAGCAAACAGTCTTCCCGCCTCCAGTGAGGCGGTCACCTAGTTTCCTTTTCAAACTGCAGTGCCAGGGGCGTTAAAAAAAGGTGCAGCAGGCAGGGTGCTGGCCATGCCAGCAACTCCCCCAGCTTCAATCCTGGCACTCCAGATGATCCCCCAACCCTGCATGCAATGATCCCTGAGCACAGAGCCAGGAGTTGCCCTGAGCACCACCCAGTGTGGTCGAAAACCAAACAGGGGCCGGAGCAACAGTACAGCAGGTAGGGCACTCGCCTTACACACAGCTGACCCGGATTTGATCCCTGGCATGCCATATGGTCCCCTGAGCCAGCTAGGAGTAATCCCTGAGCGAAGAGCCAGGAGGAAGCCCTGAGAAATGCCAGGTGTGGCCCACAAAACAAACTGGAAAAAAACAAAAAAACAAAACTAAAACTTGAGGCCATTCGAAAATGGCCATCCCAGCTGGCTGAGGTCGCAGGCTTTCACCTTCGAGGGCTGAAGCCTGCCTTGCATTCCTCTAAGGCTCCCGGCCCATCTCGGCCAGTGCCCGCGCTTCCCTGGGACTGGGAATGGGCTGGGCACAGTCTGCAGTCTCGCTTTCTTCTTCCCACACGAGACTGTCTCTTGTGAAATAACTGAACTGCAGATGTTGCAATGAACGGAAGACAAGCAACTCGGAGCAGAAAGGGAGCCAGTGTTCTCAGACGGGCAACCACACACGTGACAGCCTTCACCAGGGCCCAGCCACTTCCAGCCCCAAACCCACACCCACTGGCTCTCCTCCACCTGGATCTCAAGAGATATTCCTTCCCAACAGGAAGACGTTCCGACTGGCCCGAGGGTCAGAAAGCTGCACCCCCCCCCCGCCCCTGGCACTCCCCAAGCTAGGAAACTGGCACCTGGCACCCAGCAGCTCCATGGAGGCTGCCTGACCCAGTAAGCCACATGCTTTTCTGCATTTTCCAAGTTTCTGAGCAAGAATTCATGCTTAGATTCTTGCTCAGGGGCAGGAGAGAGAGTCCAGAGGATAGGGCATTTGACCTGCAGGTGGCCAACCCGGGTTCAAGCCCTGACTCCACATACAGCCTCCTGCCATAAGGGATCCCTGGGTGCAGAAGTAAGCCCTGAGCACCACCGGGTGGGGCTCTAAAACAAACAAAAAAAGGTAACAATAACAGCACCTAACGCACTGACTCAGCCCTTAGCACGTGCCAAGTTCACGAAAAGCATTCTACTCACGGACCATCTTGCTTAACCTTCATACCCGTGAGGTAGATGCCATTGTTACCTCACGCATTTAGAGATGCATTTTAGAGATGATGAAACTCAGGACAAAGAGGTTACAGCATCTCAGAGCCACGAAGCAGTAAGGGCCAGCTGTAAGCACTGCCCTCTCTGACCACTTCAGATTCTCCCCTGCCCCCACTCACGTCCACTCCCAAGCTATGAGGGCCAAGAAAAAAAGTCACTTGGGGCTAGAGGCAAGGTAGGTCACTTGTCTGGCATGTGTTTGAACCACGTTTGGACCTGGGTTCGATCCCTAGCATCCCCTATGTCCCCCAAGCACCTCCAGGAGTAATTCGTGAGTGCAGAGCCAGGAGTAACCCCTGAGCACTGCTGGGTGTGACGCAGAACAACAAAAAAAGAAAACATCATTCCAAGAAGTCTCTCAGCGGGAAAGATAGAGCAAAGGCCTTCGTGCAGAGGCGGAGTTGGATCGCCGGCACTGCGTGGACCCCGAGCACCCCCCCAAACACCGCTGGATCGGAGCAGCACAGCACCACCAAGACCAAGCCCCAAACCTTCAGGCCAGCACGGCTGGGCCACCTACAGGTGCGAGTGGACCCCGGAACCCTGCTAGGGAGTCTCTGAAAAACAAAACAAAAAGAAAAGAAACAGAATAGGGGTCCAGAGAGCGAGCAGCAGGTAAAGAGCTGGCCTTGCAAGTGACCAACCCTGAGCCCTGCCAGGAGTGAGTCCTGAGCACAGAGCCAGGAGCAAGCCCTGCACAGCTCTGGGCATTGCCCAACTCCCCTCCCCGCCCCAAACACGCATCACACATTCTCATTTCAGTGCCTGGTATGAAACGGCAGCTCCGTTCTGTGTGGGGCATGAACAAAAGGCTTCCAAGCAACCGGGTATGGTTTCTCCTTGTATCACTGGGCGACCTCCTCTCCCCCCCCACCAAGTTCCCAGCAGTTCAGAGAGCTGGAAAGGGTTTCCAGAGCCACCCAGCCCTGCGCCCCCCATTCAGCCAAGGAGAAAGACCTCTCCCGGTCTCTTGGAGAGATGCCCCAGCAGGACGGACCATGGGGGTCCTGAGATGGCCAGCCCTGCTGGAGTGGGATTCTGAGAGGAGATGCAGCTGAGGGTCTAAACTCAGCCCTCTCTGCAGGGGACACACACACACACACACACACACACACACACACACACACACACCCTCGACACTGGGCCATCCAGCACCTGAAATAGGCTCTTGGGAAACCTCATCACCTAAGGACACACCCATAGGCCTCACTGGGACCCAGGCCCACTTGGTCTCGCCTTCCCACCGCCCTGTTCCTGCCCTGAGAGGGGCGCAGGGGCCTGGGATAGCACAGTGGGTAGTGTTTGCCTTGCACACGGCTGACGTGGGTCAATCCCCTGAACCCCATATGGCGCCCCAATCACCTCCAGAAATGATTCCTGAGTGCAGAGCCCAGAGTCACCCTGAGCACTGCCCAGTGTAGCCCAAACCCTCCCCCCCCAAAAAAAAGAAAGAGGGGTGCAAAACAGCCAACAGCAAAGACCTGGAGACCGGGCATCTCATGGCACCTGTGGCAGTGGGGAAGGACTCTCTGAAGGGGACAGAGGGGACAGCCCTGGGGAACAGTCTGTCACACGCCTGTGACAGACTGCATCTCAACCTTTTTTCCAACTATGGCCCCCTCATCTCAGGGCATGGCCCCACTTATGTTTATACGATTTTCACTGTGACGCCCTTGGAATATCCTGGGGGCCTACAGGGGTGCCATATGCTGCCCCCCGGTTGAGAAATTCTGGAAGAGAAGACCCCATGAACCCCAAACTCTGAAGTGACAAATCGAGGAAAGCAGTACAAATGCCACAGCAGCTGTGAGCATGCGGAAGGGACAGCTCGACCCAGCACGGTCAAAATGGTTCCAGAAGGGCTGGTCCTGGGACTGAGTCTTTAGGGTTTTTTTGGGCCACATCTGGCAGGGTCTAGAAGATGATGTGGTGCCAGGGAGCGAATCCAGGCCTCCCCCCACCCCCATACAATGTGCCCTAGTTCTCTGAGCTGGCTCTTTCCTCACCCTGGGGTTGTTTTTAGGGGTGGGGCTGGGGGGGCACCACAGAGACAGAAGTTGCAGGGAAATGACAGGCAGGGGCAAATACTAATGAAAATAAGAGCCGTGTTTACCTCGAGCAGTTTTGCCCTTGATGCTGGGCTAAGAGAAAGAACTTGTCACAGTTCAGGGTTGGAGTGATAGCACAGCAGGTAGGGTGTTTGCCTTGCACACGGCCAACCCAGGTTCGATTCCCAGCATCCCATATGGTTACCCTGAGCACTGCCAGGAGTGATTCCTGAGTGCAGAGCCAGGAGTAACCCCTGTGCATCGCTGGGTGTGACCCAAAAAGCAAAAAAAAAAAAAAAAAAAAAAAAAAGAACTTGTCACAGTTCACAACCCCAAGAGCTAGATGATGTCATTACACCCAACGAAGAGCAAAGGCGAGGGCTGTTAAATGAAGTGTCTAAAGTAATCTGGAGTGGGGAAGAGAGAGTGATAGCACAGCAGGTAGGGCATTTGCCTTGCATGCGGCCAACCCAGGTTCAATCCCGGTGTCCCATAGGGTTCCCCAGAACACAACCAGGAGTAATTTCAGAGTGCAGAGCTAGCAATCCCTGAGCATCACGGATGTGACCCAAAAAGCAAAAATATATATATAAATCATAAAGGAATCTGATAACTAGCAGGACTGGGGCCCAAACTAGCATCCAACTCCAAGTCCATTCCAAGAGGCAGGCCAAGAGCTGGGAGTTGAGGGTGGAGAGAAGAGAACGTGTGAACGAAAGAGGGGAGGGGCTGGAGAGATTGTACAAAGTGGAAAGGCACTTGCCTTGCACGTAGCTGTATTCTATTCCCAGCATCCCATATGGTCCCCCGAGCTTGCCAGGAGTGACCCCTGAGTGCAGAGCCAGGAGTTATCCTTGAGTAACACTGAGTGTGACTCGTCCCCTCAACCCCCGATAAAAATGAACCAGAGGAGTCCTGGCTGGATGTCCCATGCTAGGTCTGGAAGGGACGCTTGCAGGGACATCGTGCAGAATAAGAGGGTAGAAAAACGTTGGGACATATTCATGAGGATGCGGGGGGGGGGGACTGCTGGGAAGATGGGAATCTTGCACCCCAGATACACGGGAGAGAACAGGGCAGGTAGCAACGGGAATGAGAAAAAGGCAAAAGAGAAACACGTTTCCCCACTGCCATTTGGCCATCAAAAATGTTCACCTTCAGACTTCTGGAAATGAAAGATTTTCCTCAGGTTCAGCAGCACCGGGCCCTGCCCCCGGGAGGCTGCCCCATTTCTCTTTTCCCACAGGGAAGACAAGCAGGTTGTGGCAAAACTCAGCAGCTGCTCACATAAGGGAACTGCTCTCTGTGCACATTTATGCAAATACCAGAACGTCCAGGACTGCACCTTAGTTCCAGTCACTGGCACTGTCACTGTCCTCACGTTGTTCATTGATTTTCTCAAGCGGGTCCAGTAACATCTCCATCGTGAGACTTTGTTATTACTGTGTTTGGCATATCGAATACGTCACGGGTAGCTTGCCAGGCTTTGCCGTGCGGGCGAGATACTCTCAGCAGCTTGCCGGGCTCTCCGAGAGGGGCGGAGGAATCAAACTCGGGTCAGCCATGTGGGCCACGTGCAAGGCAAACGCCCTACCCGCTGTGCCATTTTAAAGGTATTTTCACAACATTGGTGTAAGTTTGCCATATAAAGAATGCTCTCCCTCGTCTGACCACTGCCCCCTCAAAAACCCCTGGCTTTAAAGCCGCACTTTTTTTCTTTTGGGGTCATACCCAACGATGCTCAGGGGTTATTCCTGGCTCTGCACTCAGGAATTACTCCTCGCAGTGCTTGGGGGAACATATGAGATGCCAGGGATCAAACCCGGGTTGGCCATGTCGATCTGGCCCCAAACCGCATTTTTCTTTGGTTAGGGGGTCAACCCCTGTGGTGCTCAGGGGATCAGAACTGGTTCTTGGGATTAAATCTTGGCCTCTCAAAAGCCAAGCAGGGGCTGTCCTTTATCTCTCTGTGCCTTGAGCCCATTTTTAATCTCCATAATTCTATGATGTGAAAACTTGCCCCAGAGTGTGAATCATCCGCCCTCTTCCTCTCCAGCTACCAAGAACCACCAGCTGCTCCCCTCTGCTCAATGCTCTTACTTGGGGACAGGAAGGGGAACTTACACCCGAGTCACTGTGCCCTCAACTACCACCTCGCCAGAGGAGGAGAGGGCAACTCTGGGGTGGGGGGGGACCTCTAATTCATCCCATCGAACGCATATGTGCCTGGAAAGACCTGCTCCGGGCGCATGTGTTGAGAAGGAGTGCTCAGCTTAGCCCCAATCTTGGGATCCAAAATGGGTCCAAGAGGCACCCATGTGCTTGGAGGGAGGGGAGGGAAGGCAGGACAGGTGGCGCGGATGGCCTCATACTCGTGCAGTGGAGCAGGGCCGTCCCTTGCTCCCCCCAAACATGGTCTTTGGGGACATTGTTACTCAGCCAGTGGCATCGACCACAAGAGGGACCCTCGCGATACTGGCTCAGCAATTCCCCCAGGAAGTCGCACACCCTACTCTAAGCATGGGTCACGAAAAGGACCAAAGGACTTGGAGTGTGTGCGGTGGGGGCACTGGTCAGCTGACTTCCGGGGAAGGGGGGCGTAGCTCCCGGGACAGTCTGGGTGACGAAGCTGAATACAAGGTCTTCTCCCTTCCCCCATCCCCAACCCCAAGGGTCCTGTCGCTAAATGCCTGGTGGGAGCCAAGGGGGTAGGGGCCGGGTCGCCCAAGTAGAAAAGAACGAATCACTGAGGTTCTTAAGGCCCTGATGGCCTCTGGGCCTTCACCGGGCCTCAGCTGTACGGAGATCCATTTCCAGAGCCCAGCCATCAGCGCCCCCCCCCCCCACCCATGCCCAGTCAGGCTCCTCAGCCCCGGCTCAGGCTCCCAGACATTCGGGCCCCGTCTCCGATTTCCCGAACCAGGTCTCGGAACTCGCAAGCCCGGGCGCGCCCTCCTCGCGGGCCTCGAAACCAGCCCGGCCCCGCGGCTCACCCTCCAGCGTCTCGCACTGCACCAGGTTGAGGTAGTCCGCCTGGCTGAGCACCCCGGCCTTCAGGCCGCGCACCAGCCCCTCCAGGTAGCCATTGTCCACGTTGAAGTAAAGCTCGGGGAAGAACGACATGGCTGCGGCGAGGCGGCGGGAGCCGAGCACCGCGAAGGGCCGGTACGCAGCGCTGCCCGCCGATCAGCTGACGCGGCGCCGCAGCGGGTTGTCAAGCGCATCAGGTGATGCGCAAGCGCCTCACGTGATCGCGACGGGGCGGGGCCGTGAGCGGTGCCCAACTTCCGGATGGCTTCGCGCCGAAGCACCGCGCAGATGTGGACGGCCGTAGCGCCTGCGCGCTGAGGGAGCCGAGGCCCCGCCCTAGCTAGGGCTGCGTGCAAGATCCAAGACCCGCCGCCTGGTGGCGCCCGAGGCCGCGCGGATTAGGCTGGATCCGCTCTCGTTTCCTGGCTCCGGTGCACCTTGCATTTTAGGGACCTCTGGATAAATGATGGGAGGGCGCGTTGCTCTTCAAGCGCCCAGGCAGTTGAGTCAATCTCCCCCCGTGGGGACGAGGGGAATTTTATTGGAATCACAAGTTAGATTCGCTGCAAGCAGGCCCTAGGGCTACCTAGACCGGAATTAGGGCCCCTGACCCCTCGCTGCCTGTAAAAGGCCCTCCCGTTGATCATCGATTTGCTCGAGCGGGCCCAGTAACGTCTCCATTGGAGACTTTGTTGTTACTGTGTCTGGCATATCGAATACTCTCGGTAGCTTGCCGGGCTCTCCGAGAGGGGCGGAGGAATCGAACTCCGGTGGGCAATGTTGGCTGCGTGCCAGGCGACGCCCTACCCGCTGTGCTATCGCTCGCTGCCTGTAAAAGATGCTTAAAAGGGGGGAACTCCTTCGTCCCTCTGCCTCCCTCGGCCACGCCAAGAGCCCCTCAAAACCCACGTGTAAGTGACACAGATGACGGGGTTGGGGCGTGCATTTGCTGGTTCATGGATTGGCGGCACTACAAATCCTCCTGTGAGCACCCCCCTTCCGACATCCTCGTTCGAAATAACAACACAACCTTCTTATTGACCCCATCCTTTATTCGTGCCCATAATTCCCAGCCCCGACCCCGGCGCTGGCCGCTAGGTGCGGATGCAGGGGTTCACGGCACCACCCAGCTTGCGGCAGTAGCAGAAGGAGTTGAAGAAACGGCAGTAGCACGTTGCACATGGGTCGCAGCATGGTACCTGGTGGCCCAGGCAGGACTCGTGCAGCCTGACACAGCGACGCGACGTGCGCGGTTCGCGGCCCTGCGGGTCTAGCACCTGCAGGGGTTGAGGGGCAGCGGGAGCAGTAACATGGTGGACACGGCCCATCCCAGAGCAGGTCTTGCCCCCGCATGATGGGTGGGGGAAGGGGGCATGGGGAAGGACTGTCGCAGCTGGGTCGCCCTAGGTGAGGGGGCTAGGCGGGGGTGGGGAAAGCTGGGGGTGGTGAGAGCCTCATTTTCTGCCTTGAGCTCTTACCTCTGCCAGCGCCTTGGCCTCTTGCAGCAGACCCTCTTCCACCTGTTCTGCGCTTGTTCTCTTCAATGAGGGCTGCAGGGCCAGGCCTGGGACGAATATAGAGGCACAACCACCATATTCCAGGCCCCTCCCTGGGCTGGGACTGGGAAGGGAGAAAGAGGAGATGCCAGGGCCCCCCAACTCCGTGCCCACACTGACCTGGTAGCTCTGGAAACAGGGCCTGGTCCAGTCTTGGGATGCCCTCCAGGGGGGCCAAGCGCATCTGGGCCCCCCACATGCTGGGCAGTGCCAGCAACAGGACACAGCTCAGCAGCACTGGGGTCCGCATGGCCTGCGTCCACAGGAAGATCACACACACACACACACACACACACACACACACACACACACACAGGCTTAGTCCTTTTCCCCTGAAGCAGCCCTGGGGTGCCCTGTCCCCTGGAGCTGACTTCCGAAGGGTCTCTGCCCTCCAGCCTTACCGCCACTTGCTGGATTCCTGCCGCAGTGCTCCCGGCCCCCCCGTGCCTCGGTTTATATGCTGAGGCTGATGCAATTCCCACACGTCACTGTTCTCCAGGGCGAGAGGGGCCCTCCCCAGAGAGGGGGTGGACACACTCCAGGCCTCTCCCCGGAACCTGCGCTTTGGGATGCTGTACAAAAGGAGGTCCATCTCTAATTTGGAATGAGGCCAATCCAAGAGTTAATGATTGCAAAGAAGGTGGGTATCGAGGACCCCCGAATTTCACAGGACAGGGAGCTGGGGGTTGGACAGTGTGGAACCATTAATAGTAATCAGGAAGGCAGGCCGGAGCTTAATCTAATTTGTGGCCCGGAAGTGCTCACTTAGCCCCAACGTGACTTGTTGTTGCCTTGGCCCCAGCAGCTGAGCTCAAGGGCACAGAAGGGGGGTGATGGGCCAGGGGCCAGCATGGGTATGGACCTCAACCCTGGGGTATATTTGAGGGGGGAATGGAGAAGACCTAGGCCCCCCCACCTGCCTCACTGGCCCTGCCCCTCCCCTCTTTCTCTAAGGCCATGCCTGCACCTGCCCCCAAGCCCCTTCCGGCTTGGGTTTCCAGGAAGCCAGAGAAGCAGAACAGCTTGTTCTTGGGGTGGACAAGCAGATCCAGAGTGAAAGGCTTTCAGGCCGCCTGCCTCATTAGCACTAATGGCTGTTCCCTTCCGCCCTGTGTGAGGCACCCTCTGTGCACGCAGAGGCTCATTAGCACAAGGCCAGGTGAGGATGTCCCTTTTGTGGAGAAGGAACAACACACACGACCCCATCTACCCCTGCCTCCCCCGGCTCCAGGCTGGGGGCTGTTTACCGCACACTAAGCACGTGCAGGCTATTTCAGGGCCTGGATGGGAAATGGCGGCTGCAGGCCAGGCAAGGGGAGAGGCCATTGCAGTATGTAGGTTTCTTGAGATGTCGGGATGTAGAGGAGGCCTGAGGGCATCCTCCCAGCTGTAGGGAGAAACCATCAGTGCTCATCTGGCAGCCTCTGATCTAGCCCACCCCCACCATTGATCTTGGGGTGCATTTTGCATGCAAACGGTCCTCCAGAGGGTGGGTCCCAGGCAGGTTTCTGCCAGAGCATCATCTGCGACTCTCCTGTGGAGAGAAACCTGGCGTCAGGGCAAGTCACTGGGGGAGTCTTTTTTTTTTCTTTTTGGGTCACACCCGGCGATGCACAGGGGTTACTTCTGGCTCATGCACTCAGGAATTACTCCTGGCAGTGCTCAGGGGACAATATGGGATTCTGGGAACCAAACCCGGGTCGGCCGCGTGCAAGACAAATGCCCTACCCGTTGCGTTATCGCTACAGCCCCCTGTGGGAGAGTCTTGAAGAACCCAGCAAAGGAGGGGCTGGTGGGAGAGAGCTCAGCTTAGCACACAGGGGCTTGGGCTCAGCTCTGGCCTGACAGATGATCCCGGGTCGCCAGCAGCAATCCTCTCCTCCCACCAGCAACAAGCTGGAAATAACCCCTGGGAACCACGATGTGACCCAGAAAACAAAATATAAAGTAGTACATAATCAGCTGAAGGTCGATCCCCAGGAACGGTGACTCTGCTGACCTTCATGCCAAGCAGGCAGCAGCCAGCCCCGCCCCCCTCCCGGGAGCTGGCATCCCCTCATCCTCCCCTGGGACTGCAGCTGGCTTGCTTTTCAGAGAACTGAGAATACACAGATGTGTCCTTCTTGGATGGAGTGCGCAGGGCCCTGGAAGGACAGTACAGACTCTGGGGGCCCTGTTCCAGCTCCTCAGCCTGTCCTTGCAAGTGCTGTTTGAAGACATGTGGTGGCGAGTAAGAGCCTCAGGTGGGTTTGAGAAAGGGACCCTGGAGATGGGGTCTCTGGGCCCTGGGATGGGACTGGTTGATACCCAGGCTTAGGTTACAACTCTTCATGTTCTGAGGGGCAGAGAGGACCCAAAAAAGCTATATATATATATATATATATATATATATATATATATGCTGCCCAGAACATGTCATGGATATCACGAGGGCCTTGTGCCAACAAATCCTGTCCGGGGACCCCAGGCTGGCTTCTGAAAGCACAATCCGGTGTGAGCCCAGCCGCAGAGGACAGCAGCTTCTGAGGCCTCGGGATATCACAGGCAGGGCCAGTGGCTGAAGCGTGTTGGCCACACGCAAGGCGGTCTCTCAGCCCGGTACCCTCTTTCTGGCCCTATGATTACATTCTTGTCTCTCCCCGCCATGGAAGCTAATTCGGGTTCCACTCTGCCCCTGTGCCTTAGCCCCAGCCTGCTGTGGCCCATGGTGCTGACTCAGCAGTGCTCCTACACCCACAGTGGCGGTGAGCAAGGACATTGAGTACCGGGCGGGAGGAGAGCGCCTGTTCCACCGGCAACAGGCGCTCCTGGGCTGCTGAATCATGTTTGTGGCGTGAGGACCAGCGCTTGCCACCCTCCTGCTCTTGCAAGAATTTTGTGGGCAACACGAGATCCGGCTTCCGGCCAAGAGGTACTGTCCGAGGGGATGGCAGCCTGAATTGCCAGTTCTGGGGTCAGCTGGGTTGGGTGGGCTCTCTGGTTACCCAGGAAACTGTAGTCTGAAGGCAAGCGAGAGAGGATGGGGTGAAAAACAGGGCGGGACACCCCTTCCCCAGACTGTAAGGGGACCCAGAAAAGGCCCATTCTCTCCCTCTATAGGCTTGCCCAACAGTGCTGGAAGGGGACCTTAACTGGGGTCCCCAGCACAGCCGAGTTGGGCGCTGGAGTGCTCAGAAGACTCTTCCCCAAAGGGCTATGAACGTAGTTCAGCTGCAGGAAGCAGGTCTCATGAGCGTGAGACCTGGGTTCAATTCCCAGCACCCACCACACATGCCCAAGACCGAGGCCCAGTGAAGATAGACAGACCCAGCCGTTCTGACTCCCGGGTCCAGCTGGCCTTCTGCACACTGCCCCTCCAGGACTGGGGCCCTCCTCCTGTTCTCAGGCACCAAGAAACAGTTTAAAGGCAGTCTCAGGAGGTTAACCATTTCAGGACAGGGCATCGGCGCACGGGAAACCCCATGAAGTGACGAGAAGCTGGTTCATCTCAGACCCTGAGAGGGAGTCTGTGGGGAACAGGACTTCCTGCCAAGTGCAGTTTGATCTCCAGCAGTCTCCTCAGAGGCGAGCAATGTTAGCTGAGCAGGGCACACCCACCATGCCCCCTGCATGCGCCTTGCCCTTCCTTGTCGAGGAAGTCATCCTTTCAGCTGCACAGGCCTGTGTCTCTGAAAGCCCCGGGGAAGAAGATGGGTTTTGTTTGCACCAAAGGAAGCAGAGAATCACCTGAAATGACTCTTCCCTGAGAAATCTGACTGTGCTGAGGACCGAGGAGCTATGTGCAGCTGAGAAGGAGCCCCAATATGTGACTCAAGTGGCAGAGCCCGTGTATAGTAAGTGTATCACTTGTATCACTTGTCATCCTGTTGATCACCCATTTGCTGGAGCGGGCGCCAGTAACGTCTCCATTCATCCCTGTCGCGTACTAGTATAGCCCAATGGCATCTGCTCGCTCCAGGAACATGAAGAGCCTCAAACCGTTTGTTCAGGGTTTTGACAAAGAAGTCTAACCATCTCGTAGGTGGGCAGCCATGCGTCCTTTTGACATCCAGTGGAATCCAGTCGGTAACAGCTCTGTAAGTGTAAGACCCTTGATTTGATTCCTGGCGCCACATGGTTCCCCAAGCACCAACAACCCTTTGTGCCATGACCCAGGATCAAACAGTCGTTTATTACATCACGTGGCTTATTAGTGGTGGAGCCAAGAGTCAAGCTGAGGACTCTGGTAGTCTAGACAGATAGGACAGTAGGTAGGGTGCTTGCCTTGCATACAGCCAACTGGGTTTGACCCCTGGTACCACATATGGTCCCCGAACACAGCCAGGATTGATCCCTAAGCACAGAGCCAAGAGTAAGGCCTGAGTACTGTTGGGTGTGGCCCACAAACAGCAACAACAAAACAACAACAACAACAACAACAAATGGCTGCTTTCAAGGCAAACGCCTTGCCCAGTGTAATACCACTCTAGCCCTGACAGTAGTTACCACAGAAATGCTAGGGGCTGTTTCCAGGGCAGTTGAACCCCAGACTCTGGAAGATGGGAGAATGGGATCAGGGCTATAATACAGCGGGAAGAGCATTTGCCTAGCATGCAGTCAAACTGGGTTCGATCCTCGGCATCCTACATGGTTCCCTGAGTAGTGCCAGGAGTGATTTATGAGCAAAGAAGCAGGAGTAAGCCCTGAACACGACCAGGTTTGACCCCTAAAACAAACTGGCCTGCATGCTAACCAAAAAAAGACCTAATCAAACCAAAGTTTGAGTGTAGGACAGAGAAAACACTTCTATATTTAAAGAAACTTACAGGAGCCAGGGAGAGACTATAGAGGGTAGGCGCTTGCGTGGCACCTGGCCGACCCAGGTTTGATCCCCAGCACCCCATATGGCTCCCTAAGTCCTGCCAGGAGTGATCCCTGAGCACAGAGCCAGGAGTAACCCCTGAGCACCGCAGGTTAGGGCCCAAAAGCATAAAGAAGGAAAGAAAGAGAGAGAAGATAAAGAGAAAAAGGAAGGAAGGAAGGAAGAAGGAAGGAAGGAAGGAAGGAAGGAAAGAAAGAAAGAAAGGAAGGAAGGAAGAAAGAAAGAAAGAAAGAAAGAAAGAAAGAAAGAAAACAGCAGAGGGGCTGGAGCAAAATCCAGCCAGTGGGGGCTTGCCCTTGGCCAACCTGGTTTCAATCCCCAGCACTACATAAGGTCACCCTGTGCCCTGCCAGGAGTGATCCCTGGCACAGAGAACCTGAGCCTGAGCACTGGGTATGACCCCTAAAACCAAAATAAATGAAGAAGAAGAAATTACAGAAACAAATGTTTTCCTTTTTGTTCGGTTTGTTTTTTTTTTTCGAGGGGACACACCCTGCTTGGCATTCTGGAGTAACTCCCAGAGGTGCCCCCTGGGGACCCTGTGGTGCCAGGGAGGAAACAGGGGAGCTCCCTGCATGCAGAGCATGTGATCCAGTCCTTTGCGTCATTTCCCAGGCTCGACCTTTCCTCCTAAACTAAAACCTGCAAGGAAGATATTCTCTAGACAGACATAGAATGACTGC